CTTCACGAATGTTAATTACAACTTGGATAATACATTTTTTTGTATTAAAATTTAACCTTTCTAGAATTCTTGTTGCATTTACCGGTGTAATTTTGTAAATAGCGTAACAACTGTCATGCTGCCTTCCCTCCCCCTGCGTGCCTCACATTTACTTAGCATCTTGTTTTTAGACAAGATATTATTCTGTTTGACATAAAGGATGTATAATATTTCGGATGTGTTTCGGGACAAATTTGTATATAACACATCCTGTAGTAAAGTTTATTATACATATGAACCTACTATTTGTAGTCGTTTTAGATCAATAAACGTGAAGGGCAAGATAAAGGTCACGATGTACGTATATTTTATTTATTTTGGAATTGTTTTGTAATAAACTTTAATCACGCAACGTACAGGAATTAATATTTTAAGCTTTCAAAGTTAACGTTTCATTGTAACCAGAATTAGAACGTTTAATTTTTTTGTAAAATTTACAGCATTTTAAAGCCGACGGCATTAAAGAACACAAGAGTCAGCTTTAATTTTTATTATAAAGACTTGCCTATATCAAAGTTAATTATCATAAAGAATCCTTAACCATAAATGTAAAAAACACATTAATTACTAATTCATGTATTTTGTATTTTTTTGCTAGTATTTATTTCCGAATAGCATTACGTCGGAAGTTATGTTGTTGACCTCAAAACATTTCTGCGGCCTTCGGTAGACATGCTTTTGTCTTTACTCACAAGCGATGATGTGTGACTCGAAGTACAGTCGCGGGCACAAGTGAAATGAAACTGTTATTTTTTTAACTGTAGAATGCACTCCGTTATGGAAACATTTTTTTTTATTATAATTCCAAACATTAATATATTCTCTACATATCCTTTTTTCTACTAGGCAACTTGTATTGTGTATTAACAATTTTTCAATTTTTTTTTAATCAGGTTACTAAGGACACGTGCTTTTTTATTATCACTGTATGTTATCAATATGATAAAGGTATAAAGGTTTCCTAGTTATTTTTTGTCCTTCGAATGTTTATTTTATCTTTGATTAAAATTAATAGGATTATTAAAAAATAATGCATTATCATGCATTTCCTTAGTTACAAGCACTGGATATAAGTTGATTTATGGATTTAAAACTAACAAGTAAACGAGATATTAGTAGAAAAATGCCCTACGTCCCATGGATAATAGGATGGTTCGCCCGAGTCTTTTTGACCATAATCACATCACAGTTTACATTTCGTTTTTACTATGTAAAATCTGGTAAGAAATGCATCTGAATTTCTACAGTTTTTATTGGTATGATCCCTTTTCTTTCGTCCATCGAAGATTGTAGAAGTTTGTAAGGAATGCAATTATGTTGATAAAATTAAATCGATTTACTTTAAATCCCGGATTAATGTCTACAATTGTGATAGTCGATTGATACAATACTTAAAAGCTTAAAGATAAAAAGTATGTATGTATTTCTTTCTTTAAATGTAAAATTTGTTTCTCAATATCTAACACAATGACACTGCAATTTCCATTTTGAACGCCTTTTTAAATCTTAATGTAAATTGTCATCAATTTTACAGCCGTTGCGTTTCTTTTCAATTTAACACTTTGCTTTACCCTTCATTTATAGCCTATACTACACAGATACTTCGCTGGCGCATCGACCCGAAGTGGGTCTTGGCCTCCGACACAAGAGATTGCCAAAGTCGCCTGTCTTGCGCCTTCTCCTGCCAGTCCATCGCTTGTAGCTCCCGCAGGTCCAGCCTACAAACAAATAAGAAGTCCAAATTTATATATCTTAGTTTTAATGACTAACTGTCAAAATAACACGTTACTTAAAGTACAGTTCTGAATGTTTTTGTTTGAAGGTTATTGAGAATCTTTAGATGTCTTTGTCATGTTCCCAACACTAACGCGTAATTCTTGGCGTAAAATTTCATTGCTGTTATTATTCTAATTTCACGCCTCACTTTCTTTTCTATTACAGTTTTTGATATATCATCGTGTATTTAAAGTGCTCTAGCTGTATGTTTACCCACTTTCCTTTGGTAGCCGTTATTTCTTACGATTAAATGCTGTTTACTGATCTAGATGTAACAACATTTATGTTACTGTGATGGATATTGCCTTTTCGTATTTGTGCTTCAAAAGTATGATAGCGCATTCAACTATTGATTTTATATGCGTGTTCTTGGTCAAAAATTGAATTGGCGTATTTCTTTATTAAAAAATCAAAATGAAGCATTTTGTAAAAATACTAAAAACTTGTGATGTCGACTGTACATGAACATTTTGTTAATAGTATGCATTTTTATATTGCATTTAACCTCGTGTGTTTTTTTTTCTTTTTAATAGATTTTAAAAGAAAATGTGATTATAATGTTATTTACATACAATTTGTTAATGTTGTTTGTTAAATTAGTCGGTCTTTACAAATGTGGCCGAATCGTAAAGTAATAGACATACGAAGTAAAAAAATATATTGACAATTAGATGTGCCCGCGACTTCGTCAGCGTGAAATACGGTCTTGAGCTGCGCGCGGTACTGCACAGTACTTGGACATTGCTACTTTCTTTTTCTAAAATACACGTAATCTAAGTTACTCCTTATTATATAAGCTACCTGCGAATAAAAGTCCCGTCAAGATCGGTCCAGCCATTTAAGAGATTAGCCGGAACAAACAGACAGACAAATATTGTAAAAAAAAAATGGTGTATGTACCAGACAATCCCATTTTATTTATATGTATATATTTCAAGTATATGTACAAATTTTATAGCACAAGGAGATACTGCAATTTATAATTTACATCAATGCATTTGTCATATTTCTTATCTCATTAAAATTCATTATTGAAAATGACAATATGACAAATACTCATTCTCAAATGACAATCACTTACCGTGAGTTTCTGACGCCAAAATATCCGTTAAAAACATATCGTTACCCCTGTCTTTTATTATTGACAAAACAGAGATAACAATATATTTCAAATTGAAATTTTGGTTTCAAAAACCCACAGTTAATCATTGATAGTCGAAACTTACCTATATGTCATTGTTTTTGTATCTTTCATATACATTGATATTTGCGTCATGAAAAGCCGATTGCAGTTTTATCATGCGATATAAAGATTAGCTGAAAAGCATATATTCACTTTAGTTTCGATCAATATTAAATTGTTTGACTTTTAAATTGTAGATAGAACAAAAACGGGTACGTTTACCCCAGAATCATACATCTTTATATCCCACCAAACGTAATCTTCAATAGTAGACAACGTTCATCATATGTATGAGAATCAAATAGCCTTTTTTTGTTAACTATAAAACTTCAACTTGCTTATTTCTTTATATCTTACTAATATTATAAATGCGAATGTTTAGATGGATGGATGTTTGACAGTAGGTATCTACAGAACGGCTCAAAGCATCTTGATGAAATTTCGCATAAATGTAGATGGTCTGGAAGAACACATAGGTTAATTACTAATAAGATTTTTTAGTGGAAAATGCTAAACCTTTATGTGTAATGTAATTGCGTCTACATAACAATATTAGGACTATCGTCTATGAATCCTTGGAAATCAGTGGATTGACTTACGTTTACGTAAAGATCAATAGAAAGGAAGGTTAAATTAGTACTTTTAAATCATAGTTTTGTGGATATAAAATAAACATTCGTTGTTAGTTATATGCGCTTATTCCTCCAATATTATTAATGTATAAGAATTTATGAGTCGACCGTCTGATTTTGTATCAATTTAATAAACTAATTGAGCGATTAATTAATATAAAAAGTATGTTAACCTTATTATAGAAATATCGAGAACTTTATCAATAGATTATTTTATAAGAAGTAGGACAGTATTAAAAGATCAAACTTTGACATACTAAAACCTACTTTGACATTTGTCGCAGTTCAGAAAGCAAACGACAAACTAACAATAAGACACGGGTTCTTTTCTAAATTTTCTAGATTATGTTGGCTTGTGTGAACATTTCCTATGTATAATCATACCGTGACTTTAAAACATCTGTACAAAGTATATTACTATCTCTGCTTCTTTTAAAGAGAATGACAGAGATGGTAATATGTTTCTGTCCATAGCTCTTGGCATTAAAATTTCACGGATCTTGACGGAGTTCAATCAGTTTACGAACAAAGTACACCGCATAGATTAAGATTCGATTGATGAATTAAATATGACATATTGTCAACTTGTTTGACATATCGTCATATAAATGTATGCGTTTTGTACAACTTCATTTAGGCACGTAATGTGCAGCCTCGAAAGTGTTATGTATTTTTCGACACGTACCACATATCTGTAGCTAAGCTTTAGAAATTAATTTAATTTAATAATGTATTAGTTTGCTTACACTTAAATCATAAGAGCTATAAAATGCCAAGCATTTTACAGTTTAAAATCAATTGAATTCTATAACTACA